TAAGAGAATAAATAAGAGATAAAGAAGGACCTTCACTTTGCAAAGCATTACTATATATATAGCAGAAGTTGGCAAACTACAGTCCATATGCCAAATGCAGCCTGCCTTCTGTTCTTAAAAATAAAGTTTTATTGGGACACAGCCACATCCATTCCTTTATTTATTGTCTGTAGCTACTTTCATGCTGTCAAGATAGACTGAACTTGGCCCTTTAGAGAAAAAAAATGTCTCCTCCTATTCTCTAGCATCTAGCATAGAAAAGGATATAATAAAGTCTAGACTCACTCCTATGTACATAGGGGAACTAAGTGTAATCATTTCTACCAGTTGGTGCTAGGAAAGTTGGTGCACAAAGAGAGAAAAATGAAACCATTTCTGTACTTCAGAAACAGCTCCAAGTAGATTAAATACCTAACTGTTAAGGGTGAACATATAAAACTGGTAGATGAAAATTTAAGAATACATTTTTGTAATCTTACAGTCAAAAAGGGTTTGTTGTGAAATATTCAGAGAGCACAAACCATGAGAAGAAAGTTGATGAATACGTCAAAATGAATGCTTTTGTTCAATGGAGTCTGTGATAGAAAAACTAACAAATGGTGAAAATACAACTGTCATGTTTAATACACTATTAATATTTAAATACACATGGGACTCCAAAAAATCAGAAAATAAGAGGGAAGAAACCAAGAAAAAAGAGGGAAAAGTATGAATTGGTGATTCATACAAACAGAAATAGACCTACACACAGATTGCACTGTGCGCATGCATGCTCAGTTATGTCAGACTCTCTGTGACCCCTAGCCCACCTGGCTCCTCTGCACATGGGATTGTCCAGGCAAGAACAGGGGAGTGAGTTGTCATTCCCTCCTCCAGAGAATCTTCCTGACCTAGGGATCACACCTGTGTTTCCTACATTGGCATGCAAATTCACATTGGAGACTAGTTAGTTAAAATTCAAAAATGTCTTTTTGCCTGTCATAGAACTAAAACCTTGGAAATCAGATACTCTCAGGTGTTGACAAGGGTGTGGGAAAATAGAAATCTTATATTGCTTCTAGGAATGCAAAATGATCCATAATGTTTTTAAGATTATAAGTATCTATATAACCTAACACCCAATAATGGGACTAGCATAGATGCCCACAGAAATGTATGTAAGTGTAGTTATCTCAGTGTTATTTGTGGTGAAAGATTGAGAAAGCTAGCTCTTCTGCACTAAAAGAATAGAAAAGGAAAATGACAGTGGAGTGCAGTGAGGGAGAGTGAATTACATCTGTTTACAACACCCTCTAAAACAGCATTGAGAGGAAAAGACAGATTTAAAGCTTTATGCAACTTCTATACAAATTTTAAAACTATGTACAGGAGTTTGACACACAAGTGAAGTCACTCAGTCCTGTCTGACTCTTTGTGACCCCGTGGACTGTAGCGTACCAGGCGCCTCTGTCCATGGGATTTTCCAGGCAAGAGTACTGGAGTGGGTTGCCATTTTCTTCTCCAGAGGGTCTTCCTGACCCAGGGATCAAACCCGGGTCTCCCACATTGTAGGCAGACGCTTTACCATCTGAGCCACCACGGAATCCTTTGACACAAAAAGTATTTATAAAAAATATAGTGAAGCTTATAAATACAGCATTAGTGGGTGTTAGTTGCTCAGTCATGTCTGACTCTTTCTGACCCCATAGCCTGGGGCTCACCAGGCTCTTCTGTCCATGGGATTCTCCAGGCAAGAATACTGGAGTGGGTTGCCATTTCCTCCTCCAGGAAATCTTCTAGATCCAGGGATGAAACCCATGTCTCCTGCATTGCAGGCAGACTCTTTACCATGTATTTATTAAAAAATCCAGTGAAGCTTATAAATATAGCATTATATTTGGTTAAAAAAAAAAATGAAACCCCAGGCTGGGAAAGGAAGGAATGGGTTTGATCATAGAGGATGAAGTGAAAATAAAAAGAAAAATGAAAACCAGAAGAGAGTCTTTCATGGATTGGCAATAGTAGCTCATCAACTGAAGCGTGTGCTTAAGTCAACTCTGTAAAATTATCCATTAGAGGAAACAAGGTCCACGGACGCTCATCCTTTCGGAACTGTTAGATTCAGATGCTCAACCAGTGTCATCAGGTATGGGTCTCTCTCTGTATTTTGGTTTTCCTGGCCTCTGTGTTGGCTCTGATAAAAGGCAGACTCTTTCTAGGGTACTCTTTAGCTCTTTCAAGTTCATGTCACCTAAGCAGAAAGAAAGCACTTTCTCCATAGTATGAGCAGTCATCCTCTCATGAATATCCTTTCTTTGGCTGGTTCATTTTTTCTCCTGTGAGCACCCCTGAATCAGTCATGTGACACAGGACTAAGGGTGCCTGCGTCACTTTCCCATCCCTAGAACCAGGCAGTAGGAAGAACCCAACATACGGAATATGGTGGGATACTACCCAAACAGAAATTACGGTAATACGACCAGAATTACAGAAAGTGGATGCCAAGGGAGCAAAAATACACAGGTAACTTTAGGGGACTTGAACCAATGCTGTTTGAAGAATGATTGAAATGAACTGCATGCTCATTCTGGAGAAACTGGGGCAAACAACAGTTTAAAACACACAGATTAACTTCAGATATCTAAAGCATTTCCATTTGGCATGATACTTGTTTCATATGATCCGTCAAACCATAAATCCATGATGAAAGGTGAACTTGGTAGGAAGGGCAACTATGTAATTGCTGAAGCTGGTTATCTGAAAAGAATTGGTTAGTGAATTTCATATCACTGTGTATTTTTGAGCATAGGCTAGCCAGCTACCTGGCAAAGATTTTGTAGGAAAAGATTGGGAGAATAGTTGGGTTTAACCAGTGGTTCTGAATCATCCAGATATCTTATTAAAGCTTAGAATTCTGGGCCCTTCTCCCAGAGTTTTCGGTTTGGTAGCTTTGGAGTAGGACTCAAGAATTTGCATTTCTAATTTCCCCAGGTGATGTTGATGCTATTGCTCCAGGGAACACACCTTGAAAACCTCTGGGTTAGATGATTTTCAGTATCCACACTGACCTTTCATTTTTATGAGATACTTGTACTTGTTCTCAGTTCAGTTGTTCAGTCATATCACCCTTTGTGACCCCATGGACTGCAGCATGTCAGACTTTCCTATCCATCATCAGTTCCCAGAGTTTGCTCAAACTCATGTCCATTGAGTTGGTGATGCCATCCAACCATCTTATCATTTGTCGTTCCCCTTCTCCTCCTGCTTTCAATCTTTACCAACATCAGGGTCTTTTTCAATGAGTCAGTTCTTCACATCAGGTAGCCAAAGTATTGGAGCTTCAGCTTTAGCATCAGTCCTTCCGATGAATATTCATGACTAATTTCCTTTAGGATGGACTGGTTGGATCTCCTTGCAGTCCAAGGGACTCTCAAGAGTCTTCTCCAACACCACAGTTGAAAAGCATCAATTCTTCTGCGCTCAGCTTTCTTTATAGTCCAACTCTCACATCCATACATGACTACTGGAAAAATCATAACTTTGACAAAGACTTAACTTTGTCTCTGCTTTTTAATATTCTGTCTAGTTTGGTTGTAGCTTTTCTTCCAAGGAGCAAGCATCTTTTAATTTCATGGCTGCAGTTACCACCTGCAGTGATTTTGGAGCCTCCTAAAATAAAGTTTCCCACTGTTTCTCTTAGTTCCCCATCTATTTACCATGAAGTGATGGGACCAGACGCCATGATCTTTGTTTTTGAATGTTGAGTTTTAAGTCAGCTTTTTCACTCTCCTCTTACACTTTCATCAAGAGACTCTTTCATTTCTCTTTTCTTTCTGCCATAAGGGTGATATCATCTGCATATCTGAGTTATTGATGTTCTAGAAAGCAGTATTTGTATATTGAGGCAAATTATCCATATTATTTCTTTGTACCTGAAATGTGTTAAATTCTGGCTATATGGGTACTTGTAAAGTAGATGGATTTTGCATAGCCCTCTGTAACTGTTGGGTCACTGAAAGCATTAGAGCCATTAAGCAACTGAACATTTATTGGTATGCTTCATAACACAGTCCTCCCTTTTATTACGTCATCCTTTTTGTAATCCTGTTTCTGTTTTCCCATGAGGATTCAGTTTTCATCAGTTTTGTAGTAGGGTTGTTCCTGAATTAGAAAGCCAAAGTGGTTTCCCAAGGTGGATGTGTATTTTCTTTCATTCAGAAAGAAACTCTGTCTTGTATAGATATTGGCTCATAAAAATCATTTCTTGGTACCCTGGATGTCAAGTGTCAAATCATCCTTTTTCCCATCTTCTTACCCAACCCCAGCCTGTGGCCCTCCCTAGGAAAGAGGATATGAAACACTTCACCTACCTTGCTCCATACTACCTCTACATCAACCAGGAGTTATTTTCATTTTGAACTCTATTTTGTTTCTTCTTCTTTTTCCTCAGATTTTTTTTTCTCCTTAATTTTTGAAAGTTTGCTATAATAGTTCTCTGGAAGTACACATATATTTTTGTAATTTTACACAAGGTCAAACAGCATTTGTACTTTTTATAAATTGCTTTTAGATAAACAGATAAAACCATTTGAGAAAAGAGAGACCCCAGAGATACCTCTTTAAGAATTAGAAGGTTTATAGTCAATGCTTAACCATGAAAATATTTAGCTTCGCAAAAATGATGAAACAGGTGGTTAAAAACAGTACCTGACAGATTGGACCTAGAGGATTTGAGTTAAGGTGACTACTTGAAGAGCAGAGGGATTTAAGAAGACCGTTTTGTTGTCTGTGTGTGAGCTTTTGCTTGAAAACACTAAATCCAACGCTGGTAGAGAGAGTGGGATATTTTAAGAGGACTTACCCAGAATACATCTTAGTGAACATTAAATGTGGGGCAGCTTAAATGACATCTTCTTGGTAGCTACGGATCTGTAGTAATAGACTCTACTTTCTTGTGTGTGATCTGAGTTTCTCAATGGAATTTGATGAACATCCATTTTCTACATCCTCTTCTCTTCCAGACTTCACCTTGAGGAAATGTCGTTCAGATTTGGCCAACATCTCATCAAGCCCTCGGTGGTGTTTCTCAGAACAGAACTGTCCTTTGCCCTGGTGAACAGGAAGCCTGTGGTACCTGGACGTATCCTTTTTAGTAAGAGAGAAAACAGACCAAATGAACACAGACATTAACCTCTAGTATCCAACCAAAAAGGTAAGCAAGGAATCCTCCTGCCTCCCCCTTTGGAGAAACCAGGTAGGACAATATTCACATTTATTCTGAATCCAGTTGGTGGCACCAGTAATATGCTTGATCAACGCTGCAGAACTTCTAAAAAAGAGTTGCTTAGCAACTGTGGCTTTGAAGGTGAGTTTTTGCTTGACCTTTTCACTGTTGTAGATGTGTAAATAAATAGGTGCTTCTAAAATGGATCCAATGAATATCCTTAGCACTTTGTTTTCAGGTATCAGGTGTGTACTTTAATAGTAAGATAAGAGATTGGGTGACACTTGTGATGTGGAAGTAAGGTGTTACATGAAGATTTGAGACTGGCTTGGTGTCTTTACCTCCTGGAAATCATTCAAGCTATGAATTTTAATTGCATTCAAACACATAAATATACTACTATATATATATATATATATATTTTATGTTAGAATCTGAGATAGCATTTTCTCTTGGAAAACATCCCAGCTTCTAGATCATTGTCTGGTGCCATTGGTGGTGTGGGGTATTTTATTTCCCTCTGACCATCGATTTCAGTAGAAGCTTTATTCTTTGCAGTGTGAGAGGCAGAATTTGGTGAAATGCTCTGGAGAGTTATTTTTATGTTGTTGAAACTATCAGTCGTGGCTGTATGTGGATGACATTTGTACTAACTCTTCAAAAATTTCATCCCCCCCCAACTTAATTTACTATGCAGAGGGCAACAAAGTATGAAATGTTGTATTTTAAGATAATAAGCATTTCCACATTGAGACATGCTTCTACTTTGAAATAAATTTCTCAGTAGTTTTGAGTATATAAAGGTGTCAAGATTTTTTCCAAGAGTGAGTTATATTTTTTTTAATGGGATTTTTGTAAATGCCTGAAAGCTTGATGAATCATCTTCTTTCTTGACTATGTAACTACTAATAAAATATGCAGCAAAAGATAATTGTGGTTTTTGTGGTAGACTCCCAAATTTCTTGATTTGAACTTTTAACCTAAATAAATTTCATAAATTTATGAAACTAATGATAATATCAATAAGCTAATAAATAATATATATTTTCTTGATAATATTTAACTTTTAAATTTATAAAAGTATTTAATTTTATAAGTATATAAGATCAGAAAATTTCATCTTCTGTTTATTAAAGTAAAAACTCTAAAATGATGTAGAATGCTCCTATAAAATGACAGTTTTTAAGTTTTGTAACAATTTTAAATTGAGTTTCTCCAAAAGACCTTGAAGTTCTTGAAATAACACAGGCATTTTATTTTCTCATTTGATTTTGCTGCAAGTCTGTGGTTTCCTTTTTCCTTTGAGGATTATTTTTTTAAGCAAAATGTCGAATTCCAGTGTCAAAAGGATACTGTTTAAATGCCACCTCTCTTTGGGTGTCAGTTTTAATTGACTTTTGTCAAAGAACTGAGGGAATTTGGGATGAAAATGTGAATTTAGATGAACAAATCTTAATGCTTTGGACCGAGAGTATATGAGGTTGTAGAGATACACTCTTTAAAAAACAGTTAATAATGGAATGAACTTTGATTTTTTTTTAAACGCCTGTATTGATGGTAAGAAACTTGATTTTTCATGGTCTTTTTAACCACCTCAGGAAAGTGTGCTGTGTCAGACCTGAGTTGCATATGTGTTTGAATTGAAATAGAGGTGTCTGCTTCAAGGAAAATATTTATAGTGAACAGTGAGCAGTTAGTGAATGATGACTCGTTTTGTTCCAGATGGCACTGAAATTGCCATTTTGAAAATGAGTCCTGGTTGATTATCACCTCGTTGAGTAAATGCCAAGGACGAGGGGAGCATTGTATTAAAATCCACAACCTCAGTTTGTTTGGAAGGTAGTGAGAAGGACTCAGCTCTTTCCAAGGCTAAGAATGGTACACTCTGCAATCAGTGTACTCTGTAAAGCTCTTTTACATCTACAGTGTTTAAGGTAATTTCAGGGGCAGTGGATAATGGATTCAAGCAATCCTTTTTATATGATGATTCTGAAACTTTTTATTTTACTTTACCTTGGTAAACTCTCTTAGGTGACAACTGTGAGAAGAATCTTAATAAGTTACTCATTTGCTTGTGTGAAGTAATATTCTTTTGTCCTGTGATTTGGAAATTGAAACAGTGAATAGCTCTGCCTACTAACATTTCATAAAATAAATGGTGAAATGGTTGCAGCAGACCATCACTGCCCCCCCCCCCCATCCTCCACAGTGCTCTACTCTGCCTGCCCTTAAAAAGCCCCTTGTTGTGGGTCTTCTAGGTCTTCTGATTCTCTACCCCCAGACTTCCTCTGCCCAGCCTACATCTCTGTCTAAACCACAGCTCTAATGTTACCACTCTCCTATTCCTTTGCATAAAATCACTGATGAATATAATGAATATCCTTTTATTTGAGAATTGTTGTTCAGTCGCTCAGATGTGTCCAACTCTTGGCAATCCCATGAACTGCGGCACACCAGGCTTACCTGTGATTCACTATCTCCCAGAGTTTACTCAAACTCATGTCCATTAAGTTGGAGATGCCATCCAATCATCTCATTCTCTGTTGTCCCATAATGAATATCCTTTTATTTGAGAATTGTTGTTCAGTCGCTCAGATGTGTACAACTCTTGGCAATCCCATGAACTGCGGCACACTAGGCTTACCTGTGATTCACTATCTCCCAGAGTTTACTCAAACTCATGTCCATTAAGTTGGAGATGCCATCCAATCATCTCATTCTCTGTTGTCCCCTTCTCCTCCTGACCTCAGTCTTTCCCAGCATCAGGGTCTTTTCCAGTTTGAGGATAAAGTCCAAAAATCTTAGCATCCCTTTAAAAGATTTTCATTATCTTAACTCACCCTCCCCACTTTCCAGCTATTTCCTTAAACAGGTGTTGTATTTCCCTTTACCTGCTGACCCCCACTCTTTCTCCTGCTTCTCTCTTCACCTCGAGGTCTTTCCCTTCCTTTTCACTTGAACTGAAGTGCTTACTTCGATACCTGTCCTGCCCTCTTAGGGAAAAAAAAATTCTATCCTTTTTGTGACACTTGATTCCTTATTCGCATGTTGATTCATTCAATAGTTTATTACTGAGCTACTCTGTTCCAGGCTCTCTGCCAAACACTAATCCCAGTCTGCCCCAAACCAGATATGTTCATTTCTGTTTGTCTGTGTGTGGAGTTGCGTTCCTGGAAAGGGATGGGGGCAAAATCTGATCTTAGTACGTCTCTTTTTCTTAGCACCCAGGGTATTGTGTTGACTGAATTTAAACTGAATCTGTTAACATCAGGAGCTTGTGGATAGTTTCAATTAATACTGAGATCCTGCCTTTCCTGTATTCCCATGCACAAAGCCATGTCTCGTCACCATTTTATTCCAGATTTATTAGTATCTCATCCAACTTCCCCTGCATGCTTTGTCAGTTACAGTCCTGTTTACATTGCTGTTATGAGTGTCCTGTGTTAAGCCTAAATGCAGTGAATGGACTGATGGCACATGGGAAGAGATTCTTTTCCATTGTTCTCTGACTATGTGTTAATTGGCCAATGGATGAGTCTGTATTTTAAGGGCAGTATATTGCTATCTTGTTGTGAACTGGAAAATTCTATTTTGTGTTTTTGATGATTTCGTTTTTAAAAGAGTGTTGAGGTGGCCTCCGGGGAATGCGCCATTCAGAAGAGACTTGTAAATGTCATCTTTGAACTTGTTTCCTCTCTTAACATTTTGCTCCCCACTCCTCAACCTTCTTTTCTTTTTGACTTTGCTCACTGGCTCACTTTATACCTTCCTGAGGAGGAAAAGAACCGTCAGATCAGGGGCTGCAGATATGCTTTTGAAGCAAGACTTTGCTCACATTCTCAGAAGAGCCACTTATGTCCCTCCTCATCCCCACCTAAAGCAGACACTTCTGCTTGTTGCAAACAGTGTTTAAAGTTGATTGAATAGGCTTTGGCCTCTGTGCAACACTCTGGAAGCATATGACTGACGGTCTTTAATCCCTTAATTTCCTGTTGCTGGAAAATGCTTTTCAGGGAGTCTTGGGAAGAGAACAGAAGCATTTGGAAGTTGCATCTTCAGAATTCTTCAGCAAACGTTTTATTCATGTACTTGGTGCAGCCCAGCTATTGTTCGTGGCTTGAAAACATTTGAGTCAACGTGGTTAATACTTGTCTCCACTCCACCGCATCTACCTCTCCTCTTGAGTTGAGCATGAAAAATGAATTTGAACATTAGTGGAATCCATTTGGGGACTGGGGCTTTTATTGTAAATAAAATTATTCATTTGTTATGTCCTGTAGTTTTCAGCAGATAGTGTATTGATCTTTGGATTACTATTCAGCATGGCATATGGGGCTCTGACATAAGGGGAACATGGCCACGTTTGTGGACAGGTTGAATGCGTTGTGTAATGACAGAAACAAACCTTGCTTGCTGGCCATACTATATTATACAAATCATTTGTCAACAGTTTATTGAATCTGTTATTAAAAAGAACAGATTCTTCCAAGTGGGAGCATCATGCACAGAATGTTATCAGGGCCAAGCCACGTTAGGATGATACATTGAGGACAGCCTTACAAAGTGTATTTGTGAAGAATTAGGCGAGGTAACTTAAAGGACATTTCTGCTGACATATTAGAAACAAAAGTTTGGTGCAAGGGAAATTGTGTTCTAAGGTCCAACTTCAATAGATAAAAAAGAAAAATCTGGCAATTGCCTTTTAATACAAAATTTTACCTCCCTAAGCGAGTAGTGTTCTGTTTTCAGGCCATTGCCATATTGAGTATTCTTGAAATAAAGGAACAGATAATAAAAATAGCTTCATTACTTAACAGTGCTTCTTACGGAATAGATGCTATAGATAAAAGTGCCCTTTTAGTCCTTCCGTAAAAATCAGAAATATTTGTCATTTCCTGAGTAGGTTGTAATCTTGTGAATTTCTTTAATTGTTCAGGAAACTGCAGTTATTAGTGATCTCATGATCTTTTCATTTCTGAA